AAAAAAAACAGCTTTCATGAAACACGTAACCTTCACTGGTCTATGTACAATTAAAAAAACAAAACAACAAAAACACCATGGTAGAGGGTGTCATGTCTCTTCGTGTTTGGCTGTCACACAACCAAAATGATCAAATGATGACAGAATCTCTCCTCATCCAGAGACAATCAGAAGAGATTTCATTAAATAAGATGCCCCCCCCACCCCTCCCAGTGTCACAGAGTATAGCACCTTGATGAAGAGATGAGCAGTGATCACATATTAAGTCCTCGAGTCTTCCTCTAATGTGTCTAATTATACTTAATAATATTACATAATAAATAGTATTGGTCCTCTGATGCGTCACAAGCAGACGCAGGGGTAGGGCAGCATTGTCAGAGGCTGGACGGCAGATTTAGTCCTCTGAGGTCACGTCAATGTCCTCGGAGCTGGTCTGCTTAGTGGCGATGCGCCATCTGTTGATGTGGTGGTTCCCCTTCTTCTTCTGCTGGCTGTCTGGTCCCTCCTCCTCCAGCTTCTGTCGCTTGTACTTGGTCCTCCTGTTCTGGAACCACACCTTCACCTGGATAGAGAAAAGCACTCAGTGTGTGACCCGAGAAAAAGGAAAAGACTTAACGAACATCTGTTTAGATGCACATTTTGAGTTTCCCAACGCACAAGCAGCTAATAAGATAAATGATGGCCATGTTGTGGTTTTGTTGATCTAATAAAGGCACAATAATTACTCTAAATCAGTCCTTCATTTCACAGCCTCGCTCCGGCTTCTCAGTTGTAAGAAGCTCCTTTCTCTCTTTCTTTATGGTACTACAAAGTATGTGCTTTGGCAAACTGTGTTTCTGACTTGTATTGTTGAAATGCAGTAAGGGAAATAAAATAAAGCAACGCAGTTTATTCTGTTTAGCAACTGAGAGGGAAAACAGAAATGCACATAAAGACTTAATGACTAAGGATGGCATAAAATGCATGAAATATCAAGCTTAAAAGCTTCCAGACGGTTGCTGCTGTGACCTTGTAATATGAACCTGTCTGTTCACACTTACATTACTTTTCTTTTATCTTTACTTTGCTCGGCTTTGGGGTAATTTTTCCAGAGCAAACGCTTAAAGATCCTTGGTACAGTGCAGTAATTTGTGCATGACCTGTTTAGCTAAAGGGGTGGAGGGTGAGCGTGTGTAGCTGCATTATATACGTTATAGTATATTACAGTATTTCGTGCTTATTTCATGACCACAGTGACTTGATTAATCTTATCTAATTTTTTCTTCTAACTTTAAGATAAACTGATGACATGGGCCTTGCTATCACCCATGTAGATGCTATCGTTTAATCTTGCTGATCCAATAAATTGAGTTTATTAGTATTCGTTTGACAGTCTTTAAAATTTGCATAATTCAATTGCTGCTTAATTGCAAGCCGCCTTATTGACTGACACAAACCAGAAACTTGCAAGCAGAATATATTCACACTGCTGACTGAGGAAATATCTTTTAATCTTACCTATTAGGCAGCCTAATTGACACCCACAGAGTGTGGACTCATTAAACTTAAGCATCAATAATATTTACCACAGCTTACGGTAGAGCATACATGAGTGAAATCCCTTTGAGAGACTGTTTGCAAAATGTGGGTCAGGTAAATGTTTAAAAAAATGCAAGTGCATAGGCCTATAGCTATGTCATGTAAGATAAATTCAGTTAATTATTATATCCATTATTGAAATTAGAATAACAAGAAGAAAACATTTGTATATTTATCATCTCTGTCTCTGAAACACAGTGATCAAGTCAGGAATTTTTTTTCATTTTGGACTTTAATTTTCTGTTTTTCATTATGTTAACAGGTTCACAAGAACTGTTTTTTTTCTGCCACTTAAATATATATTTTAAAAGTTTGAAAATACTTATATCAAAGTGCTTGATGCATCCATATCAAGAGTGCTGTAATGCTCCATTTGAAGGATCATCCAAACTATCAGTAGGCTTCAGCTTGTCCAGAATGCAGCAGAGTCCTTATAAATACGCAGAAATTTGAACATATTAAAGTCTCCCAGCTCAGTACAGAATCATTGTTAAAATCCTATTAATTCAGAAAGCTCCAAATGGTTTGGCCCCGCAATAAATCTCTGACTTGCTCCCTGTCGATTAAACCTCTCAGGTCATCAGGTGCAGATGTTTTAACTGTTCCCAGAATTAGATCAAAGTGTGCTGAGAATGCTCTCAGCTACCCGGGTCCTGTTCTTAGGAACAAGCTGCCCTGAGGTCAGTCAGAGCTCTGTCCACAATCAAAGACAAACTTCAAACTTTATCATTCTCGCAGCTCTGCACTTCATAACAGTGTGTGTTACCTTGTACGTGTGTGTTGTGTTTTATATCTTTGTAAAGATTGTTTTGTTATTTTTACTGCCTGAAGGCACAGTAGACCTACATGGGTTTTTATGTTTTTATCTTTCATGTTAAACACATTGAGTTTACACATAAAATGTGCTATACAAATAAAATTGCCATAAACTATTACAATTGAATCTAGTTTTCTGCAATACAGTGCATTCATTCAAATAAATGTATTCTAACAACTAAACAGACGAGTAAAAACCTATAATATAACATATAAAAAAATTGTTGGCTACGTAAGAAAATAAATATAAATTATTTTTATAAATTATTTTTATTATTATTCTGTTATTGCTGTTCGTTTTAATGTCGTTGCTTGGGCTTTAAAATATTGGGGCTATTTTAGCTGTAGCTATGTGTGGATAACGTTATAGAAGTGTCCAGAACTAGCCAAATGCTAGTAATAGTTTATTAGCAGTAATAGTATTGACGATAAAATTAAGCGACGTTAGCAATTAATTTAAACAAGCAAACGTTAGCTTAACCTACCTGCGTTTCAGATAAACTCAGGCTGTTGGCCAGTTGTTTCCTCTCGGCTCCGACCACATAGTGGTTCTTCTCGAAGGCTCTTTCCAGCCGGAGGAGCTGGGAGGGAGAGAAGGCCGTCCGGATGCGTTTGGGTTTTCTCGCGAAAGGGCCGTGGAGGAGCAGGCTGTCCTGGGACACGTCGTTACCTGACAGCGAAGTCAACGAAACGGTAACGTAAGTCATGGGAAAAGTTCATTCTTATTTTATTTTCCCGAGAAAAAACCCCAAAACAAGTTATAATGGTTCACTTATTACTGTTTTTGTTAATAAAATAAAATTGACATTTGAAAAAAAAGAAGAAGAAGCGTATTAATACAAAAGTACGATAACAAAATGCCGTTTTGCACAATCATGCTATTTATTAGGCCCGTTTGAACGTGGCATTGTAAACTGTCCAACCTGACAAAAAACACAATAAATTCATTTTCTGGTAAACTCATTAAAGACAGTTTTGCCCTATAACGCAGTTTTAGGCTGAATGACTTTACGCACATTTTAAAAATAAATAAATCGTGACAAAAATCAGGATCAGACATTTATAGTTAAATAAGAAAGTACATGGCTACACATTCGGAATAGAGTCATAAAATAGCACATCATAACACATCGTAATATATATATAATATTTATGTGACTACAGCTAGATATATTAAATGCGTATGGTCAGCAAAAGTTATTGTCTTTAGTCTGATCTATTTTGCATTTTTTAGGGTATAAGAGGTGAGACTGAAAATATCTTTGAGAATTTTTTTTATGGTCAATATTTCTCAGAGTTATTTTTTTGGTGCAAACTGTTTTATTTAAAATAAATGTTTGGGTTTTTGTTTGTTTGGGTTTTTTTTACATTTACAAATTCTGTTAAACTCCCCATATTGCCCAATTACATCCAATAAGGCTAATGTATGTATTAATTAGCCTATGGTATATTTATGATGCAGATATTTGATTTATTTAGTTGTTTTTGTTTTGTTTTTAAATTAAGGGGCCCTTTATGCGTTTGCAACATTGCTTCCCCCCCCCCCCCCAAAATGACATTTTCTGTCCAGACAATTATGTAATTAAAAATGATTGAATGAATAAAAAGCTGTAGATTATTTTTCATGTCTTACTAATAACAGGTCTTAGTGCTGTATAGTTGGAAGGGTAGGTGTGGCTGAGGTTTGTCACCACTAGCTGTGTTCAAAGCCTCTCTGGATCAGATTTTTATTCCGCATCCCTCCCCTCACGATGAAATTATTATGGTAGATTTGATCTATTTTGCCTCTGTGGACTGGCTTTTGTGCAAGATTTTTTAATTAAATGAAAAAAACTGTAGCCTCACCTAAGGCGAATTTTATTGTATGTGGGGAAAAAACACAACACGGCTGCTTATCTTTTCCTCCTGTGGTTTTCCGAGAGTAGCTGCAGGGCAAACGAGAGTGGGAAACATGAGAGGAGCCCAACAAGCCTGCTGCAAGCTGTCAGTGGTCTTGTGGATTGTGATATCTGCGGCTACAGTTTATTGTTCGACTAAAAATGCTTTTGAAATCTACAGTCATATTGTTGAAAAAAAAAATCCCACACAAAGATATTTTGTTTACTATGGATTTGGTTTGTTTTGTATACACTTGTTTTATTAGTTTAATCACCTCCACCTACTTTATTCACCATTTTACGCACAGAATAACGCATTGTTTAATTCTAGACTAAGAATTCTGGCCTTTATAGCCCAACAGTGGACCTCAAAATACGCACACATCTGCAAGTCTTTAAGCGAAGTAATAATTTAAAAAAAAAACTTTTATTAGTATTATTATTATATTATTATGTTTTGCATTCGCATTTTTCGCGTACCTTGAAATCTGTGTCCAAAAAATCTGTTCCGTAACACCCAGGGGTAAAAGTTGAGCGGGTCTCGGTGTTGCGTCCCAAAGAAGTGCGGATGCTGTAGGTGGGATCCTCCGAGCTGGTGAGGAGCCACGGTGAGTGAGGGGTGGTTCATCGTCTCCGGGAACACCAGGTCTGGGCTCTGGTAGAGGGACCTGGCCGGTGGTGGAGCCTGGTAACTGTTCATTAAGGCATCTGTCGTCGGGTTGGAGTAACTTAAAGCCGTCGGGCGGATGGGATCCTCTGCCGTTAGAGGGTTCTCTTTAGCGACCAGAGACTCTATCGTGAAGCAGCGCTTGCCTGCAGACGAAAACATCATCTCTTGGTAGAAAGGGAAACCAAAAAGAACGCTATCAGCCTTTATTATTTTTCCTCCTTCCTCTTGCTGTAAAGGGGAAAAAAGAAGCCCACTCTCAGAGAAGCATCGTGGCCAAAGATGGTGGGGGTGTTAGGGGGAGGGTGGGTGAAGGGTTTGTCTACACGAGCTCTAAGATGCTGCTAGAAAACTCAACAGTGCTGCAAATTGTCCTGATTCACGGAGCCCGTGCGCGCTCGGAGGGTTTCTGTGCGCAAATGCGCACCAAGAAAAGCGCCCGAAACCTTCCATGTGGCTTGACGTTGCGCGGAAAGAGGGAGCTGATTGGACCAGAGCACCTGCCAATAGGTCTCCTCAAGTACCTGCTTTGTAGATCACACAAGACCGGGCAGCTTAGTTACAGGGGCACGCTGAGAAAAACTAGCGTGCTCCAATTAATGGGTCATTGCGTGTCGCGTTCAGCTTTAATGTCACGTTTTTCTAAAGGAGGGGAAAAAAACTAGTCCGCCTGCGGGAGTGAGAAGGTCCCACTCGTCCCAGAGCAGATTCATCCAGTTCAGGAATTCTCATAGTGTCAGTATTTGACTGACGCTCGTTAAGAAGTTTTTTTTTTTTTTTTTTTTTTTTTTAAAAAAACTGACTCATCGAGACATTTTGGATCTTTCACCTTTAACTTAACGTTTAGGCTCTCTTTCAACTCCCATTACAAACACACGCACACACAAGAGCAAAATTAGATTTATATTATGAGATTTATGTGCCTCTCAGAATTAGACAATACAAAGTTTTACCTTCAAATACGCTTATTTTTCTTTTATTGAGGTTATCGTTATTAATTATTATTACTACAGTCGAAACTCCACGTCTGTCTTTCATGTTTTTATGTGATCTTCATAATATCTTTTAAAAAAACAAACAAACCCAACAACAACAACATGAATCAGTGAAGAATACTGTTGATTCTGGTGAGTCAGACTCCCTGCAGCAGAGCATCCTTTCTCTCTACAATGTGAGGTGTGCCGCTGATTGTTTTGTTTTGTTTTTTTAAATCAAATTTTCCGTGGATTTGAAATGTTTCTCAATCGGTGCAATAATAAGTGCACGTTCGACTTAGTAGCTCCGGTTAAAAAAGGAGAAAAAGCGAGAAATAATATTTGTTACGGGTGTTATTTTTAATTTTAGTTTAGAGTTTTTTTCCTGTTTAAAATTTAAATGTAGTCAAGCAAACGTTTTTAAATTTGGTCGAATCAGATCGAAGCATCTTTCAGGTCACAACGTGTATTTGTATTTTTTAATGGTGTGCTCGCGTTTTTATGTTAAAAATTTAGCTCATTTATTATTATTATTATTATTATTATTATTATTATTACTTTTTATTGTAAGCACATAACGGCGTCATTAATTCGCCTCGTGTTTTTTAAATATATATTTTTAAGAAAACCTTCTGTGAGTTTGTCCTCTGTGAGGACAGTTTAGCAGGAGAAAGCCTGTTTGTCATTACTAGAGCTGCTCCCTCGGCGCTCAGCTTCCATTGCGCGCTAACCAAGTTAATAATTATCCTCTTAATATGCTCCTTCGCGTTGGGGTTGCATTAGAAAATCATTACCGATGGAAATTATGAGGTAAAACAAGCTGTTGATTAGGCTTTTAGAGCTAAAGGCTCCTAAAGACAGCAATCGGTTCTGGGAATGGGTCATTGTTCGAAAAGCTTAATATGGGGCTGTTCCTTGAACACTTCCATTTCTTTTAGTTATAGTAATTACACGGTGAGGATTGTGGCGACGCATAAATGCTATTCAGTTATTTTAACATTCATTCTTGGTGGATCATAAATTCCTAATACAGTTTGCCAGGAAATCATCCACATATGTGGCATAACTATAAGTGTCTATTGAAAGGTCTGCCGCGAAATAGCTGTAAAATTAAACCCTGGAGTTTTTTGTTTTTTTTAACTCTTTAAATTTAACCTTCACAAGTATTTTAGTCGTATAGGTCAGCGGTAAGTTCCACAAGCCTATAGTGGTGGAGAATGTAAGGAGAGATAAGAGGAACAAGGAAACAGCGCCGATGAATACACCGCCTTTACAGGGAAACGTTTCAGGAATCAGTCACGCAGCTCAGTTCTCTATCTAAACAGTCCAGACGGAGCATCAGAAGCAGGAACTTGAAGGATGGCTGAGTCGGTTAAAAATGCCGCCTTGAGTTTAATGATGAAACCCTGTGGGCCTCTACGCGCTGACCCTGATCGCGGGTGGTTAATAGATGATCAAATCGCTCTGCTGTAACAAAAAACAAAGGAAAGCGCTCTAACCTTGTTCCGTACCTGTTGCTGATTTCACCCCCGAGGCCCCCTTATTACTCAGAGTCTGAACAAAGTGATCTTCAAGAATAGTGCACTGACTGTTTTAATGGATTTTTTTCCTTAAAGCTTTTATAGTAACATTTCAATGTAGCAGCTGCAACAATCTGAAACATTTTCGAGATCTTAATTCTCATTTTCATTCTCAAATAAAACGAGATAAATGACAACTATTTAAAGCACCCAACACACGTATGAATATGTCCAGTGTGACCGGAGAAAAAAAAATCATTGCACATTTTGTGTATTAAGAAAACCTAGAAGAGAGATCGGAGATATTCCAAGATGCAAGTAGCCTCCAGGAGCTAGAAATAACCGGATGGAAGAGTGGGGGGAAAAAACCCTTACGGTAAACCCTAAACAGCCTGCTTTTATCCATAACTTAAAATAAATTTGTATCTGATTAATTTTAAATGTTAATCAACTGTTATGAAGTGGACAACAACAGCAACAACAAAAGCAATACTACTACTACTACTACTACTACTAATAATAATAATAATAATTTTTAAACTGTTCAGTTCCTCACAGTCAAAAAAGGAAACAACTGTGAGGAGTGACGGCAGTTTAGATTAGTGCTGTCCTCTAGTGGCGGAAGATTGAAATGCTCTTACAGCTCACTGAAAAACACCGACTTTTGTGTCAATGCTGCCATCTAGCGGTTGAGGTGAGGAACGGTAAGGTTGTAAGGATTTTGAGTTTATCCGCAGAGATCAAAGGGAAGTTGTGACCTCAGCAGTTCCAGGGCTTCACGAGGGCTTGTAAGTTGGAGAACAAGAAGTTTAAGTTGCATATTATTATTTTTTTTTATGAAACGTAATGAAATTACATGTGAATTAAAAGGAAATAATTAAATAAATATTGGGATATTCAGCTTTTGGGGCTGTGTGACAAAGATCAGCGCCGTGTGTTGTCTGCTCGTTCTCCCCTAACGCTGATCAAAGCCATGAGATCAAATCAGTCCGCAGACCGCCTGGGTCCCTTCCTCCGTTCATTACTAAACTAATTGGCCATTTTGTCTCGCATTAGCGTTGTGTGTTCAGCTAATCTCTTCCACTTAAATACTTGGGAAATTTCACCCCATTATAACGAGATGAGAAAAGTAGCACGTCTCTGCGTTTGTGGCACCTGCATAAGAAGTGCGGTCGTTCGGCCACCTGTACGGGCCCCGCTCTTCCACCGGCTCCCCTCCTCAGCATAAACAAACATCCCACTTTGAACACGGCCTGGGGAAAAAAAATAATGGGATGGGAAATGCATTAGTGTTAAGATTATATGTTTGAAATCTCAGTTTGGGACGTCAGATACAATATAATTAAAATATGACACTTTATTGATGAAAGGTTTTGCTGTCGAACGTAAAAGTTGCACAGTCGGTATCCAGCGGTCTTTCTGTTTTAGCCTGCAGCTTGTTTAATGGCGTCCTCCGTCGCTGTATACAACGTTAACAGGAACTGCTGTTTCCTGGCAAAGAAAAGAAGCAGTTTGTTCTCCGAGCATGAGCCCCTCTTGTCCGTGCCCGTGTCAGAAGTCAATGTGCATCTCAAATGCGAGCCTTTCACGTCGAGACAAAGCCCTGCCTCTAGTTCAAACGCTTGTAATGAAAGCTAATGACTATTAGATGGAGTAGAGTGGCCCTTACCTCTGCAAATAAAATGCAAAGAGGGATTCCCCCCTTTACGATCGCCTGCTCTAAAACGCATGTTGGTTAAAGCGTGAGTGCGCTCTCCATTGAGGCTGCAGGTCGTTGAATTCCATGAGAACTTTCACACCTCCTCAAAGCTGCATTACAATCTGAAGGCGAAGAAGAACTCATGGGAGTCATATGACGAACTGTATTTAAATTTTTTGGTGGGGAGAAACTCAGTAGCCAATTAATTAGGTACACCAGACAATATAAAACAGCTAGTATAAAACAGGCCTCACTGGTGCAAATAAGGATCATTATTGCCACTAATAATCCTCAAAAAAAGTGAGGTCAATATACTACTACTACTACTACTAATAATAATAATAATTATTATTATAATAATGCTTTGGCCTTTGATCTGTTCTTGAGGCCAAGAAAGCGACTTTGAGACATCAGCTTCAAATACAAGAAACTCAGATCAGACTCAAATTGATTAATTCATTCTTAAAATTAGGATTTAGTTGCAATTAATTATTCACTGAAACCCTAATATTGATTCTCCCAACATTTTGAGCTTTGAGCAAAGTTAATAGCTTGAAATGTGCACGCTCTAAACACTAGAACCAGCAAAGAGTGGTCTTTTCTCTTGAGCGAGTTATCAAAACAGTTGCTGATGAGTTGTTTCAGATTAACACAGTCCAACAAAGGCACATTGAAGAGACCCGTGTGGATAGACCAAAATTGCCCACTGTGTTTGTGTCGCCAAGACAAATTGTGTAATGTGCTGAAATGCAAAGCTCACGAGAGCAGATGAGAGCGACCAGTCATGAGACAAGTGAAGATGTTACAGTTTCCTTTCAGAAAAGCCTTCAATTCGGACCCTGCGGAGAGTCTTGAGAAGCACAGTCAGCGCTGGCAAGCATCCAGCCGTTAAGGTGCCCTGTGCTAATTGAGACGATGAGCCCGGTGACCCCCACCGCCCCTCCCCTGGACTCTCTCAGTTTTCCCAGGCCTCTGGCTGCTTCTTTCTGTTCCTCAATGGGATTACGTGGAGCTGTGGACAGAGAAGAGGAGAAGGGGGCTC